ATTTTCCAAGGAGACTTCACTTTTTCTTATTTGTACTCATTGACAACACAAGATCAGTGAGTACTCGTTCTCCAGGACACAGGACTTTCCCTTTGATCCTAATCACATATAAGACAGATCATTTTCTGTACAAAGTGCATTCAAATAAAGATCAAGATATGAATTTACAGAAGTTATTTTTACTGTGAAATGGTTTTAGTCTAGTACTTTATAAAAGATGAAGTGAGAAAGGATGAGCAAAGGACAATACATAAATGGGGAAGGGAAAAAAAAGAGACATCTCGGCAATGTTGTTTTAATACCTCTGGTAGTAACGATCACTTGTGTTAATTCTGAAGAAACATTCGGGGAGGGAAAGCATCTCCTTAGTACGTATTCCCTTAGAGGTATCCATGCAGAAAGAAGACTTGAAGACGAGGTCTCAGTGTTCAGCCATGCACCTTTTAATCTTTCCACAAGGTGGCGGACGCTGCTTGCAACAGGTTTTCTGCAGCGGCAATAGAAGTGTCTCATTTCACTGATTCTGAAAATCCGTAAGTTAACAAGTCTTCGGAAAGAAAGGAAAACTTTATTGGGATGAACTTAGAAAACGCTAATAACGAACTCTTAAAAGAGCACTAGAGCCACCCATCTATAGCGACTGATTTTCATACTAATGACAGGAAGTATAATTTGGGTGAAAATGTGGGTGAACACGTTTATTTTCTTGCTGTAAGGTCAAGCAAAAAACTCTGATAATTTCCTATACATATTGAAAAGGTATATATATATTTAAAAACCAAGCAGTGAAGTTCCTGTTCCAGTGTTAATAATCATTACCCTTGTTTCTCCTTCAGTCACAGAAAGGCAATGAAACCTAGCATTTCTCGTTCATTTCTGTATACCTTTTCAATCCTTAGAGTTCTCCTGGCGAGTTCTGAGTGCAGGTTAATGCCAAATCAGGAAACTGAATGAGAAAGTTAAAACAGGGTGTTGCTTCTTTCTGAATTGCTGTTCATCAGCTTAATAATTAAAACAGGCTGCAGTAGCTCCACTAGACTGAATTTCTTGAGACAGTTTTCTGAAATGAATCTGGACGCTAAGAGCTAGTAATTACTGGAAAGGGAGATCAGACAGTAATCTTTATACCGAGTCATTTTTGGGAAGACAATACTCATCTATTGTGATTTCTGGATTTCTTTAAGAATTCCTTACCTAAATTAATTTCCCTTCTCATCTATGTTGCTCTTCAGGGACTTTAACTTGCCAAGCTGCTTCTGTTGAGAAGGAATTATTTTTAATTTATTTATTTTTAACAGCACTCCATATTGTTTCTTCTTTTTAATTATTTTGTTGACTTTCATTGCCCAGGCATTGTTGTTTCGGATATCTGAGGTGTTTTTAGTTGCTGAAATAGTGGTGCCATGCACTCAAAGAGAGCACAAGAGAGGCATAGCAACCTATACCACTTTTTTTAAAAAAGGATGCAATCCATTTCTGCGTTGGGGGAGGAGGAATATATTCACAACACTTTCAAAATGAGAAATTAGGCATAAATTTGCAATGAACCATGTTCACGGCATGGATTAAACTGTGGCATTTCTAATTTTGCCCTGCTAGTATGGCAGATCTGTGAAATGCGAGGCCAGCTCGGTGGCAGTTCGTCCAAGCTTTCCTCTTTTGCTGCCAAATCCAATTCAGCACCACCCTGTCTGGACAGCTCCTGTGGGAAAGCAACTGTTTGGTCCGGCGGGTGATCATTCCACCCACTGGCCGCAAACTGTCAATTGCTATCTCTAATTAGAAAATGACCGAGAAGCCGCCAAGAGTTCATACAGGCTTCAAAGACACACAGACAATCAGACTCTAATATTAACGGTAAAAACAAGGACGGTGACAGCAGCGATTGAGGTATTTAATTGCCACAGTTAAAGAAGTTCCTGTCCAAGATTTCTTGGCAGAGTAAACAACTGTATATTGGAATTGCTCAAGCAGATCGCCTTCTCTTCCCATCTTTTTTTTGGGGGGATGGACTAGTTTTTAGGAATTTTAGTTAGAAATAAGCCACTGAAATCAATGAGGCTCCTTTCCATGTAAAAATATTTTGGAACAAGGGACATCCACGAAGGGCAAACTTTTCACAAGCGTCATTCAATCGAACGGATCCATCTCAGAAAAATGGGAGAAAGGTGAAACTTGAGAAATAACCACCTCACGAAGACTTTTTGGCTTGGAAAGGGTGGGGTGAGAGAGAAAGATGTGTAAGTTAAAGAGCTTATGAGAAGCTTATGACTCTTGCTCGCATTATCTTGGACTTGGAATTGTTCTGTTCCTTGAGGAATTGGGTGGTGACGTCTTTTCTGATACCGATTATTACGTGACTGCAACAACAACAATCAAAAAAAGTCATTGGCAAATAAAAATCCGAACGCCACATCAACAGAGAGACAAAACAAGCGAGACACCCGGCACGGCAACAAGGCAAAGAGAAAAAGAGAAAGAAAGAGAGAGAGAGAGAGAGAAAGAGAGAGAGAGAGAGAGAGAGACCCTTGTTTACAACAGAGAGCTGGCGATCAAAAAGCTAAGAGGGTGGCAGAAGATCTGGTAGCTAAGAAAGGAGGTCTAGGAGACCAGCAGCAAACAGCGGAAGGCTGGTCAACTTGAAGAACGCAAAAGGGAGAAGAGGAGGAGGAGGAGGTGAAGGAGAAAAATTGACGTTGAAGCCAGAAGCAGACCGGGGAAAGGAAGAGAGAACAGCTCTGTAGCATCCGCTAGAACGTAGCCTGCTCCCGTCTTCCTCCCTTTCTGTTCTCCCAATTTCGTCTATAAGGATTCCCCCCTTTCCTCCTCTTCTTGTTTCTCCCTTGCCTCTCAGATTCCACTCCAGACCTGTAAACTTTTTTTTTAAACTGGGGCGGCGCAACCCCCTCCCCAGCTAAGCAGCTAACGAGCCGATCCGCTGTCTGTCCCACGCCCCCTCCCTTGCTGCGGTTTCCTTTCGCCCATCAAAGGAAGAAAGAGACAGAGACAGACAGAGACAGAGAGGGAAGGCGATGCTTCAGGAGGATTAACTACCACCCGCGAAACTTCTTGGAAGAAGAGCAGGAGA